AGGAACGATCAAAGAAGGTACTTACAATGACAAGTCTAAGCGCCTAATGCTCGTAACAAGTGATCGGCAAGAAAACAAAATACTTTGAACGGGCTCCGAAGCAAGCTAGGGCCAAAGTTACGGAGTTTGTGGGTTAAATGACTCGGGTATATTGAGAAAAGGGTGGGCTATCCATCACCTTTATAGTCCATCATCAATCCAAAAAAGGCTAGGTGCGAGGTGCGAGGTAAAGGTACGAAGCAGCCATAGATTTGGAATTAATCTAATTATGGGCCTATTACGCGGCCTTTAGATCATTGGCTTAATCAACTGATGTGACGGGTGGTCTGGACAGGCCGATTCGGGCTCCGTAGACGACTAAATTTCTATGAAGGGTATGCACCCTGAGCTATACCATTTTCGGATTGTGTGACAATTCGATCATGGTAATTATGTAAAGTAACTGTAATTTAACTGTAGATTAGAGGCCCTTCATAAAGCTTTCTGTATAGCCTTCCTCCTTACCTCCCAAGTGGCTTCTGATAACTTTCGCTGTAAATATTAAAAGGTCGTATAATCCTAAAATGGTATAGCTCAGAATGCGCACCCTATACAATCTTACGCTGCCCACGAAGCCCAAATCGGCCTGTCGAGGCCCGTCATATCAGTTGATTTAGCTAGATCCTGATCATTCTGAGGTCCTCGGAATACAACGATCGGCATGCTCTTCCTTTATTCCTACATGAATGGTGATGTTCTGTGATTATTTTCCCTCTAAATTCCAATCAATCAATCAATCAATCAATCAATCAATCAATCAATCAAAGTTCAATTAACCTGTTGCAGTCTAACTAGTTGCGTATGACCATGCAGGCGCTTCTTCCAACTGAAGCAAGAACTCGAGTCCAACGCCAAGTCCCAGAGGAGTGTAATCTCAACGTGTTGAAACTGCTGGAGGAGACCTGTCTGGTGCATAATTTAACCACGTAGCTGGTGGCCTGCGGGTTTCGCTAAATCCCAAGTTGGCTGAAATTTGGCTAGCGCTTCGCTCATGCCGTGATTCTTTCGAATTTCCTCATATTCATACCAACCTTGTTTTTCACCCTCTTCAGACCCAAATTCAATAAGTACCATTGAGCCCTTCGCATCATAATTGATAGATATAACTCTAGTGATTGTGAAGTCACTTGTTTGTCCGTTCGGCGAAGCGTCAAGAGCTCCAATGGTGCGCTTTGGGTTTTCTTCTTGAACATACTTGCTACCATTCATGTGTGACGGTCTGTTTAGCCGTTCTTGTGTCTTTGGAGGGATAATTCTGCCCGGCTGAGTCTCAATTTTTCCTAAGGGAAAAGAATCCGGTCGCTCTGTTGGGTAATTTTCAGTGTCGGCCTAAGGAGTCAGCCAATTTGTTTTTACTCGCCAAAGGGAGTTCGCCCATACCTTCGTGACCCCGAAACACGCCCTTAGTAGCGTAAATATATTGAGCCTTGATGCAAAACGGTTCTCAAGTATGTTTGCCATAATCGATAGGTAGTATTTGAATTCAAAGTTCCCTGGCAAGACGTAATACTTATATACTGGAGTCATGATTACAAAAATACCCATTTAAGGGGCATGTTATGGTGTTTAGTCAGGTCTTGTGATAAATCAACTCTATGGGGATGCATTCTATGCTATACCGATTTGGTCACCTAAGCTCTGAGTCAGCTGTAGGTGAGTACTCACACTGACCGAGCGTATCTCCTCTTTTGCGTACCAACAATGCCACCTCGCCGTAATCCACGAATTACTGCAGAGGGTCTGCTTCACGACCTATCCGCTCAGACGCAACATTTTTTGATGTTTCTAGAGGTTGATCTCACTCCAGCTATTGCGGAAGCCGGCACAACCAGTGAATTTCCAAGTTTCGTGGATTTTGTTTCATGTGGTGCGAGTTCACGCTTATGGATCCTACGCCTACAAACCATCTTTCAGTGGTCTTCTCTAGCCTTGGAAGAGGAAGAGTGGCTACGGAGACAAGGATTAGACCGTGCACATCCTGGAAATCAGGTCCGCGGTGTCTGGTCGATGCCGTCTTTCCTTCGTCACCTAGGGCGGTCAAAGGATCACAATGCTTGTAGTGCTCTTCAACAGGGTCGAAAGCTTAGGAGATTTGAGATTGAGTTCGGTGAAGGAATTGCACTTTTGTTCGCCCCGGTCTTGCCTACTTTCCGTCGATTATCGCTTATCGAAGAAGCCAAAGCTATGCAGCTTCTAAGAGGCAGCCATGCCAATATTCTTGTTAACGCACAACGACTTCTGCCTCTTAAGTCTAAGTATCAAACATTGGTAGTAACTCATATGCTTCTCTATCTCTCACGACTAACCCAATTCTTGTCTAGGTTTCGCATCCGATAACTCGAATGCCCTAGGGCACAAACCGCCTAGACCGCCATAAATTCGAAGACATCTGGCCCGAGCATATCATGCCCCATTGGTGCGCCACTGTTTCCTTGCCACACAAAAGAGCCGCTGGCAGGAACTTCTATTTCCATTCTAATCGACCCTCTCACAAAAAGAATTTCGTCTCGCCGCAGCTTCCGTATAAAGGGTCGGACTTCCGATATTGTCTCTTTCGGTATATCGGGAGGGTAGAGCATGAATCTCACTCTGGTCTCGTCGGTATCCGAAAGATCTCGGAAGATTGATACTGCATCGTGAGATGGGTGGGCAAGTCTAGTGCCCCATGTTGAGTGGTTTTTGAGGGCGAGAACGATAACAGGACCCTGATGAATAGAGAAGTTAACTTCGCCTATGGCCTCATTGATTTTTCTAGAGAACTACGAGTTGTCAGCATTGATTCAATAAAATGCTTTATCATACCCACAGCGCCGCTTTCCTCCGTTCCGCATCGCAGAAACTGCCCACATGTGGCTGCATCTCCCCTTCCATAGACAAAAGGACCTTTTATAATTTTGGGTTTCAAGTGTAGAAACCGATGCACCTCGGAATTCAAGTCGGCCCCATCAGAGGAAGCCGATAACACGACAAAGCCAGTGACCTCCATTTCCGATGGATGTTGCTCATGGTAACGAGGCGATCCGATCTGCGCTGTTGTCATCTTTGGGTTCCTGTACCAGGCTCAAACAGTTTAGCTAGATCTAGAATAGTCGCAATTGAAACTAGGAAGGAAAGTAAAAGGGCGAGACAGCAAGGCGTCGAGTTTAATATGTTTAG